TGGGGGGGGGGGGACTGCCTTTCTTACGAAAACCGAAACTGCGAATTCTAACAAGCTGGCTTCTCGACCTCCAAGTTCCACGACAAACGTTAATTTCCATTACGATTGCCATTCGATTTCCTGCTTTGTAAGTGATGTTAAAATTCGAACTCGGGGAAGTTAGGTTAGTGTCAACCAGAATACCGAAATCTGTTTATAATCTATGTTTATACCTGACTGGAGTGTTCTAATTTGGCTTTCCTGTGGGACGCGATTAAAGTGTCCCTCATTTGACAACCAATCCGACCCCACCTAAACCTCATAAAAAGTGCGGATATTTAACGAACCAAAGCAATGTTAAATCCGACTGGAATGAAACATGCTCTAAAGAAAGCATAGTTTAATCAGCAGACCTTTGATCCCGAGAAATGTAAGGTATATGTCCGAACTAAAACAGAACTATCTTTAATAAACAGTAATTCTCCAATAAGAAAAATAATAAATACTCAGAAAGCCTCAGCAGCCTTGCCACTCTCTCAGACCTTTCGATAAAGTTCTGTAAACAGATTAAAGCAAGTGACCTTGTTACCCTTTTACTCGCAATGCAAAAGAGTATCTACGGGTGACTAAGCAGGAAGCAAGCAGCATTAAAGGATCATGATGCTAGGCGAAGTCTCACACAACCGCCCACCCCCCTCAATGAAACATCAGGAGGAAAACCATCTACAATCTGCCCACTCCTGCCCATCTCAGCACCAGTCCCTACCATATATTTCAACTCATAATGTAGCAGTGTGATGGGAATGTAATGTAGTTTCATTTTGCATCATGCAGAAAAAGCATGCCATCTTCTTAAAACTTAGCACTACTTTTAAATTTGGATTTAACCTGCCTCAACAGTAAAAATACAGGAAAACACAATGGAAACTTGCCTTTTCTTATTTCCTTACTATGCCAGTTACTATTTCAGTTCCCCACTTTTAATAATTCTCTAACATGCCTGCATGACTTCTTTGATTTCAATAAATGACTGACTCAAGGCATCTGAAATCTGACCTGTTCAGACAATATTTTCTACAAATTTTCTGTGCTCCCATGTTGAAAAATAGCAATATGCTGCCAGTTATAAAAAAGAAACAATTTGTGAAGTCAAAACCTACCTGACTTTGACAGAATCTTCTACAAAAAGACAGATGTATGTTGGCTGGCCAGTGATGTACACATGCATCCATAAAAATGCAATAATTAATTATTAGGTAGGCAACATCACTATATTCACTACAATACATTCTAAAGATAAGTACTGACCAATTTTTATATGCTGCTTTGTGGAAACAGAGCACTGAAACAGAAGAATTTTCACTTATGCATGGCCTACTATGTACTGTTCACTCATTCATGACCTACTATGCACATTAATCATACTATATTCTTTAAATAAGCAAGGATAAGTAATTATTTTAATTTTTATATCCTACTTTGTTAAACTTTTCAATAAAAATGTTTTCTTTGATACAACTGTACTTAAAATTTTCCTGTTATTCTAGACTGGCAATTTTCTAACCTTCTATAAAATATAGTTCTTCATTTAAAAACAAGTAGTTCCAGTAAGAATTCATAAAAGCTACTTTCCAATTACACAGATTTCTAGTCACGCAGATCTTATGCTTTTAATGTTATAGTAGTTTGGTATGTTAAGTCCACAAACTTAACTCATATGTTAGCAGAATAGTAATACAATTAAATTAAACTTAGATCACATTTTTATGTATTTTTCACAATTATAAATGTATGTTCCCACTGTCTTTGAAACTAAAAAAACATCTTCTGAGTCTGTTAAATCTTAAAAAATCTTGCATATGAATTAAGTCATAAGAACTTTTCTGTTTTCAGACACCTGGAAGCCATAAGTATGCAAACTGCGTTGCTGTGTTGGTTTTATTTGCCAGCTGTTCCCCACAGCAAACACATGTGAGGTTATTTAATAACACACTGAGACATGATACAATTATATTATTATTTCTTACCCCACATTTTCACACATATACTGCATGCATAAAATATACAAAATTCAATATTCTCCTGCTACGGTACCAAATGAAAATGACATTTTGCACAACACCACAAATTAGACACAATGCTGATACATGATTATATTAATCCCATATTCCTTATGCCTACATCAATTAACAATTACATATAATTATTTTAATTTAAATACTGTATTTGAATAATTCTTAATAAATGATTAACCGATTCTTTACAGTAAAAAATAGTATAAAATTATCAATATGAAATTTGTCAACAGGTATCTCTCTTCTGGGTTGTAAGACCATATGTACTTGTGGGTCAATAACAACCTTTCAGGGAAATGTACTGCTTTAATCTTCAGTGGAGGAAGTATATTCCTCCAAAACATTAAATCTACCAACAAGTTCACATGATGTCACAATCCAGAAGACAGAGAGAACCTAAAATCTCAAGTTTCTCTTTTTTGTGTTTCTGTACTTGGACTCATTCACAAGCTGCCAATTCTCATATACTACAAGAACAATTTCTTTACTACAGAGCACCACTTTCCATCAGCAATCCATCGCTATTACACCCAAAATGCTGCCCTTACACCATGAAATTGCCACATCAATGCCAATCCAGCACTTGCTAGCCTAGCAATGGAAAACTAAAAAGGTTAAAGACTACAAAGAGCCACCATAAGAAAACAAATTTCATATGGTTCTGAGAGGTTCTGGATAAGTACTTATAACTTTACTAATAACATGAAAGAAATCTGATGTGAGCACAGTTTCATACTTTATTTCTATTATTGAGCAGTTTGTATTTATTTTTAGACATTAGAATACACCAAATCCTTTAAGTTCAATCTTGGCATATCATCAGATGTTAGTGTAAGAACAATTGAGAATCAGACACTTTTCTCCTATAATATGTTATGTTTTTTGTCTTCCTTCCTTCCTTCTTTATGTTATTTGTTATTGTAAGTTTTAATGATTACATTATAATGTGAAAAACTGATACAAACTGGAAGTAAAAGGAAAATGTTCAAGGGCAAGATCAATATCAAGATAGAAACATCCAGTTCAGAAAGATGTCATACAAAGAAGGAAGAACATGAGAAGAAAATGAGGAGGATCTGTGGGAATATAGACAAAAATGAAGAGGCTTGGTTGTCTGACAGACCTATTAAAAGGAAACATCACACAAAGACAAAGATCTAGCAGATGTACTGAAGCAATTCTAAACTCAATAATCTGTACTCAGAAAAATACCTGTCAAAATCAGTGCCAATGTTTGCTTTTAAGAAAGGCAAATTTAGGATGATACTATGTTTGTTATAAAGCACGTTTTGCATCATTGTAACATCTAAAATGGCACATTTTGTAACTTTAAGAATAAAGTTCAGTATAAAATTTATACATCTTATATGCATACTGATGAAACACATGGAGAACCCTATATTTAAGCAGTGCATACTTGAGTAGCACCTTGACTAACTGTATTCTGTATCAATAAACAGTAAAACAGTTATGATCACAAATCAAAATGTCTCCAAATTATAAAAACATATTGCACCTACACACTCCAAATCATGTCCTGCACAGATGTATCATTCTATTGCAATAGCAGAATCATTCTAATGACTGGAAAATCCTAGTTTTTATTCACAGAGTTCCAGATTGTATCTCAACTGTTGCCACTTGTAATAAAACTAAAAATTTAAGAATATTAACTGGCACAATGGAAATCATCTGATGATGGAAGTAGAGAAAAGATGAAAGTCTGGAGTAAAAGATATGCAAATAGTAGTATTAGATTAAAAATATAACCATAAAACTGCAAAAACAAAATCGGATTTATTACCATGGACTCATTAAAAATTCAAACATGTATAATAAATATGTTCAAAATTATTACAGTGCAAATAATTTGTCCATGTAATGTAACACACTCATAATTTTTATTGGCTCAAGAACAAATGATGAAGTTAAATAAACATAAATGTAAGTGACCAGAAAAAGTCATGTTAGAAGCATCTGAATATTTGTAGGAAATATTTCATAGTTAATATATCTTAACTTAGCTCAAGCTTGTGTCATCAGATTATGCATCTTTTATATTTTGTACCCATACTCAGCTTCTTCAAATACCTTACCAAACTTTATTTTGAGTGAAAAAGTGTCAAGCACAAAATGAGTTAAAAACAACACACTGCATGACTAAAGGGTACTCTGCTATTGAAAGAACACTGGTACAAACAGCCATGCAACCTATTGCATGCATTCTCTCAGTCATTACAGTCACTAGCACACTTACAAGCGGTCTTTCTGAAAAGTCCTTACACAACATAAAACACTTGTTGTTTACCTTAAGAAAGAAAATATGGTTTTATATTTCAATATAGACACTCGCAATGTATACGCAATTACTGCTACTACATGTTTCCAGTCAATCATATTAAAAAAATTAACAGATATAATAATTATCCTATGGTGTCAAAATTTGTTCATATTTGATACACAAGTATATGCTGACTCAAATTCACCCTTCACTGTAACAATTACACCTTGAAGCACAGCCACATCAAAAGCCATCAAAAAGTATGTGTACTGAAGCAATCCCATCACCTGCATCCTACTCCCCTGCCTCAACTGTAGTGTCCCACAGAATGTAATCAACCAGCCTCTGAAATCTCATAACTAAGGTAACAAACCAGAGTTGTTTAATCATACTCAGTCAGATGTTCAAATTGTATCACCACAAAAATCAGAGAAAGTTAAAATGGCATTTTATTTACACAGCACTGGTTGTATAGTTAAGAGTTACAATAATTTTCAGCTTAACTCTCTAGGTCAAAAGAAAATTTACCTACACCTTTACATAAAAGAATTCTCAGGATTCAAACCAACACCACCTTGAAAATTGATGCTCAGATTTTCAGTACAGGTGTACATAAAATGATTCAAATTATATGACAAAAAATTCAGAATGTTTCTAAAATGCATCAGTCAAGAAGACATGAGTTCACAATTTTATGAAACCCCAGAACAATAAAATGCCATGAAAACTAAAACGTTCCATATTCAAAAAACATTCCTTTAACATGAACAATAACGTAAAGTACACTTAAAATGTACTTCAAGAAATTAAATCCTGAAAAAACTAAAAACTGTACTGACCATACCTATATAGCCTGGTCAAATTTAAAAGCTTTTGATGTTACTGTAACATACAAAACATACATATTCATAAAACACTGTACAATATAAGTGAAAACCACTATCAATGTTAAATCCTCTTAAGTTACCAGACTGGACCATACGATAGCCCAAACCATATCACCACTTACTAAAGGTCAATTGATAAAGCCTTCATCTTGTTTCACGGTGCCCCACATCAGCACTCATAACAACATTCAACCTCACATTCTGCTACACTATTTTGTACCACATATGTCACTCAATATTTATAAGCTGCTGAACATGATAAGAGAAATGCCTGGAAACCAAAAGGCATGACTAGCGATACTACTTACACCTTTAAATGCCAGCAACTCTGCTACATTAAACGTACATCTTCACACCAATACAACTACCTATTTATTAAATTTCTCACTGGTCCCATTCTGCTATTTTCAGTAATAGTATTCATATTTCTATTCACATACATAAAAGATTTGGACAGACCAGTCAATCACAAAGCCTTCTACCCACTAAAACCACTACAGAAAATATGGATAAATCCTTATTCCATACCGCTGCACCATGATAAAGCAGTCCCGGACTGTACATCTTAGATAATGCATGAAGATAGATAGAGAAAGCCAATGATATACCTACCCCTTATCCCTGTTAATTTCAAATTTGAGATTCATAACAGAAGAAGCAACCGACTATTCAGAGTTCATAAATAATTTAACTAAATGTGTAAATAATGAATAATGCACTTTTATATTCAATCACTTTCAGTAAATTAGTCACATGTTGCAAGAATTCAATGTTTTTCATTCCAGCAACACAATATTCGGTACAGAACCTTCCAGAATGCATTACCAGACATTGATATTATATTCATCTACTCTTCTGTAATGAATCAACACTATATAGTCTAAGCTACTAAAAAAGTGTTGTTAAATAAACTATAAATAAATAAATATACTGTGATGAAAGAAAAATTGTGGCCTATGGATGCAATCAAGAACTTGAGTGGAAGCTGCGAATGGTGAACTTGGCAAACATTTCTTGCCCACTGAATAAGAGAACAAAGTATTATATTTCAAGTCATAAGTACCTTCATGCTTGTCACTTTTACTGCAACATAAAAAACCGAATACCATGCCACAACTGCTTAGTTTGATGGCTCAGGTGTTTCCTCATGCTACTTCTTTACTTTCCCATCCAGTCTCAATGTCTGCTCCTAGACACTCTGTTTACTGTCCTCACTAATGACAAATAAGCAACACAGTTTTAAATTGATACATATCAGTGTATATACGCAACAGACATCACCATGCAGGAGATGCTCCTCACATGTAAAATAAATTGGTGACAGTCAAATTTAGTTTACTGGAAATTAAAATGGAAAATCCCAACTTTAGATAGAAATTATATTCTCTGCCACCAAAAGAAGTCACTTCATAACTTCATGTGAACTTGGACCTGTAATGTAATAAGCAAAAGTGTTTAACAAAACCAAGTGATTGACATGGGTTTAGGGAATCATCTTCACAAACGATTTCCAGTGTGTTTTTACATCAAAGTACAAATCAATATTGAGCTCGTTTTATAAATCCAGCCAAAATATAAACCAATCTTCACATAGTTCTCTACAGGTCTGCAACAGTCTTCACAAGCATCCAGCTCACAATATTCAAGAGATTAAAATTATGGTCTAGAATAAAAACATATGAACAAGATTCTGTAAGGCAAGCACAATTTCAGCAGACCACATTATATAACCACAAATGAAGAGGACTTATTATTTCCCACTTTCAATAATTGCAAAATATGTACAAAGCTAAACAGCACTACTAAAAAATCTAACTGACTTTTCTTACTGTATGACGAAGAGGAATGTTTCGAGCACCTGAACAGAGTTACAAAAAATAAGGTGAAGCAAAATTAGCTCTACTGTACCAAACAACTGTTGACAGTTTCTACCTTTGTTTTCATACCTTTCATAATCAGATCCTGTTATTATCCTGGCATGTAAAAGGCAACATAATACATAATAAATAAAATTAAAATTATACTTCATATTGCATACAGATTTTATTGGTAATATCTTGCCCTTAGATGTAGTTGTTTTGATACAATGCTGAATACTACAGTAAAATTACAATATACTGTACAATGTGTATTTTAAAAACACTCTATTACACAGAGCAGAGAAATGGACAGGTACCAAGTGAGAGAAATGAAAACTTACAAGCAGTTGAGATTAAATTCCTGAGGGGAATACTGGCATAAACCAGGAGAGAATTAGAAACACATACATGATGGAGCAACACACAACCACATCAAATGCAGTAGACTGAGATGGTTCAGACGTGTTGAAGGAATGGATGACATGGAATATCAAAAACATTACTGGAAATGAAGATGAGTGGAAGAAGACCCAGACAGGCCATGCATACAAAGAATAAACCATATTAAAGAGATTTGTATAGAGGAAAGGATGAGACTGGAATAGAATAAATAAAAATGTTCAAAAACTGTCCTGATAATATCTATTTTCCAGGAATGATCACCCAAATGTTATTTCTTTCACTTCACATATTGTACCGTGTATGTTGTAATTTCAGTTCTCATTTATTCTAAAACCCTATGAACAATTACTAATGTGCTCCTACAGAAAATCTGACCATATTTCATACAATCACAAACATGCATGAACACAAACACACATGTAAAGAAGCTGCGTAGTCTACACTGCTTGTGCAGACCACCCATGAGAAAATAATGCAGAGTACATAATACTTCAAAATTAGTTTTGGCAAAGGATGAGATTAACACAAAACAGAATCATGTTAATGTAAAACTGCTATTTCTTTTGATTTCCAGGCCATATTCTTACCAATTCACATATTCTTATCGCTGATAAATCTAGAAACACATCAAAGATAATTAAAATATACATTTATATCAAGACCACTCATTCTCACACTCAAACACACCCATAAATATGGCTGTTACAATTATGTACTCATATATAAAAACAGATAATTGTATTTCTTAAGTCTTTTGTGAGATTCCTTACATTCAGAATGTATATGACTTTATATCTTACAGAATGTTCCTGTTTGCTGGTGAGGGAAATTGATGGTCAAATTGGAAACCTCCATCACAATGGGAAAGAAAAAGTGACAACCTCGTTCTTTCTCCATCATTACATTCAGAAGAGGAGGAGAATATGTTGCTTTTTAAAAGAGTTCTTAGTAGAAGTACATACTTGAATATTCATGGGATACTGTATTTTTCTAATACTAAAAGTTAGGTCATATACTAAACTAATTCTGAAAACATTAGTGGCATTCATATGGGTCTGAGTATCTGGATCACTGAACAGGACACATGAATTTTTTCAGACAACCTGTCATGTTTAGTTGCTAAATCCCTAGAACATCCAGTTTTAAAACTGACATTCACCCACATCATTAACCATCATAATTCTAATACTTTTTATGTTTTCATACATAGGCTACAGTATCTGCAAGTACTGTATGTAGTATGTCCTTAATATATTGTTGCTGCTACTCTATCTTTTTTTTACTGAAAAGATCTGATATTCCATAATTTCATAACAGGTGCCATCTTACTGATAAAAGTTTTTTTTAAATTACAACACCTGATAAACATTAAATATTTGACATCACAACATCTACATTCCCATTTCCACTGCACAGGAAACATTTCACCCACTAACCCCCGGGTAATTTCATATATACATCCAACACTGAAGATAGTTCAACAAGTAAAGCCATATAAGACTAACAACTGCTATGGACATTCTTACCTTACAAGTCCTCAAAACATCACTACAGTAAGAATAAATACATTAAAATGTGTAAGTTTTGATCCACATGAAAAAATTTAATTTTCCTGGTTACTTATGAAAACAACAGAACAAATCCAGACGGGATAACCAGAACTACTTTACTACTACACTATACCTGCTTGATTACTAGCGCATATGCCAAAATATATGTTGTATATCAAAAATAGTACTAAAATGTGCAGATTCCAGTATTAGGAATGTACACAACAGCAAGGTCATTCATGCCTCCTCTAGCAGTTAATAACATTGACTTTCCAAACAAGCAAAACTGTTTCACACCAATACATGTTGGACATCACGCATTCCACAAACTAAAGTTTGCAGATTCTTAAACATAAAAATTAAAGTTTAATGCAATTTCAGAATGAGGTATGGGAGTGAAAAGTAGTAACATGCTTTCTTTACACTTTAACATCTAAAAATTATATCTCATATAAGGAAAAATGTTATTCAACATGATAGTTAAAAGTTAACATATCCTTTTAATTTTTCCCAGATTTTTTGTGTTTCTGAAATATGGTCACCTTATTATAATATTTCTGACACACAATATCAGAGAACAATCTCAGCACTTATGATTTTCAATATATATACTCTCCATAAATATACATAATGCTTAAATTTTATACTGAATATATGTTGAAAACCTACAAACTTCCATCATCTACACTCTATTGTGTGGTGTCAAATCTTAAAATGGCAAGTACAGGAGAAATTCAACAAATTCTTATCAGATTAGTTTCTATTCCCAAACTATCTTGCAGACCACAAAACATTTTCACAGCATTGTTACTGGTTAAATAAAATTTTACTTTAATCATCATATACCATCTTCATTATGTGTGTAATAATATTTTTCATCAAATGTAATTTCAAAAAAGGAACAGGCAACAAAGATAACCAGACATTTCAGTGTTAATGCTTCAGTATTCTACTATTTGGCTACAGAAAAGAACTGGAAATTCTACATGACTAAGCACTCTACAACCAAGCACCATGATATAAAACCACATTTTTCAATGTTTCCCTGGAAAAAGAAAAAAATACAAACAAAAGCTTACATTATCAATACCTGACAAACAGAGCTGTATTTTGAAGAAGCCAGTGAAGCTTAAAAGTTTAAATCCCACCCATTCTTTAAATGTCTGAGTTGCATTATCTTAGTCCATTACTGAACCTGTGTATTAAATGTCAATATTTCATTCATCAATGATTCAAAACAATCTCCAGATACATATCCAATTGTAAAAAAATTCAAATTCTAAATATAAAATACATATTAGAACATTAAACAATGTTTGGTAGCAGTACCTGTTATGAAATTATGAGCAAAACATTTTCTTGCAATGTCTGCTTCTAATGATCAAAAGTTGCCAAATTCAAGTCATGGCAAAAAGTGTTATAACTTTACTCTTCAGAGTTCTGAGTCAGCTGTTAAACTTCACTGTTAATTCAAACTGCTGAAATACATAGGAACCTTTTGAATTTCTTTGGCACTTTCACCATCCACAAGAAAAATATCTTTCCAAATTTATGTTATCTTACTTCAAAGATTATACTTTAACCTACTTTGACACTTCCCCTATGTCTGCGCATGGCATTACGAACCCCACAAACTGACTGAAAGTAGCTACTAATGTTTCCAAAACGATTAATGCTCAGCAAGTTAAGACGACTCTGACAAAACAATTGAATTCATGGCAATTGTTTTCCTCAGAAGGGGTGTCAAGTTAACTTTACCTGAAGCATAGAAACATTAAATCTGTTTTCACTACTTTCTTACATCATAAGAACTTACAAGTTATGATCAAAGGTGTGACACATCAAACCTGTGTTTTTAAAAATAATGTTAATAAGGTACCTACTTAATAGAAAATCATAAATATATACACCTCACAAGGCTTCAATATTCATTCATAATCAATGTCATTACAGTATATAATTTCTCATCTTTTCAACCACAAGATTAAAGAAGGTGCTTAAAGCAAAATAAACTATTATAAAATCACTAAAAGATGTTAGAAATTAGTAAATTCTGAAAGTCGGTGTTGCATAAATCTTTAATGGCATTCAAATTTGGCACACAGGATCTACAACAATGAAACTGTATAAAGTTGTGAAGTACAAGATCCTAATAAGCTAGTTATATTGAGCACACTTCCCAAATGTCAATCTTCTTGCAACAAACACAGTATTACCCCAGCAAGAATAAAAAAACTGCTTTCAAACACATAGCATAAAGCAAGCTTAAATAAACTTGTGATCAATTAATTTGGCCATTCTTTAGTAGAATTTCTTCTTTGTAAATAAAAAATTCATTCCTTCCTTATGACAAGACAAAAAACTGCATTACCAAAATGCACTCATGGAATGTCTCTCAAATATACTTAATAGGTAATGACAGAAGCTAAACGAAGACAAAATTTTCTGTCAGCCACATAAAACAAAGAATCAGCATGACTCTTAGTCTGTATGCTCTTTTATGTACTATATTTTGTGATGAATGACCTCTACAAATAGTTAAAAGGCTTTTGAGTGCCATACAATGTTCGGCACATAAATACAAACCAAACCCAATTTTATAATCTCTGTCAGGCTCAAATTCATAGTCTCTTATTGCTTTCTATTTATAAGAATTATATATTCTCTAATTTAAGCAAGTATTTTTAAGTTGTACAAAATGCCAAGCAATTTCAGTTATTATTTTCCTCAACCATTTCAGTATTCACATGAAAATAAATGAAAGAACTGATGAATGAAAGTAATCAGTAAATAGAACATAAAATAGTCTGTAAACAAATTATTTAAATCTTAGCAGAGCATCTAGTAATTTTTGCAATACATGACATTATCTTCTCATCTTTATGCAATCCCATTATTCATAAATGGATCTCACAATGGAAGGATAGCATGTCTTAAAATACAGTTCTATAAAATATTTTGTACTATATATGTTGCATTTACTCAATGAATTACTAACCCTTTAAAGCCCAATTGTACTTACATGTACCACCTGCTTTACCAATCAATAATTTTGCATTTTGCCCACTGTTATTTATGGGTTTCACATGATTCCGAGAACAAACAGCACTTACCTCCCAAAATAGTATTAACCAATTATCCTTGTAATAAAGATTGTTGTTTTTCCTTTGAGGTAGGAATCGAGTCTTTAAATAGTATTAAGATGAGCATCAGCCGTAAAGGGTTAAGTTCAGGAACTGCTAGAAGGGACTTTTACAAAATAGTTTGCAATTCTAAGACACAGAAAGGTGGAAGCCATATGAAATGTGTTTCATGGGCTGAATAACAACACTGAAATAAGGAACTTTATTCAATTCTTCAAACCCTATAGTTTGTACTTCAAAAAATCTCCACAGAACAAGTAAATAAATGTAAATTCTCAAGAGTCTGTTTCCAAACTAATTCTCAATGTTAAATACTTTGTCAATTATATTTTAAGATGAGAAAATACAAGAATAAAGTGTAACAAATACTTTCTGGGGTTCCTGTCTCACATCACAAGTAGCAAATATACATGTGATTGATCTCTATAACCCTGTGTACTTGTCTATATATTAAGAAACTGGCATTACTTTCATTAAAGTAAAGAGGAACTATAAATATAAAAACTCAGGAAGGCATCAGCTCAAAATTTACATCTGGTATACTATAAGCCAAGCAAGAGTTTAGAAGAGGTAGCAGACTGTTATAACAAAGAGACTTAAATTTTTCAAAACATACTACTAACATTAAAATACCATTTCAGCATCCAATATGAGCATAGCATCATTTAAACCTGCTTTATCATAAAAGCAATTCTTCTTAGGCCTTGCAAGAAAATTACAACTTTCATGCATATACATTTTTCTAGAAAATATAATTACACATTATGATACAAACTTTTCTTCAAATTATTATAGGTCTGTTGCTACAGGAGCCTAAATTAAAATTCTCTTTAACAAAATATAAGCATTAAAACATACTACTGTTATGAGGAATAACTTCATTTATTTCTATTGTGATATGACCTTCTACTTCACAGAGTAGCAATATTCATTTCAGTTCCAAATAAAATATACGAAATTGCTACTTTGTATATTAAAAGTCCAATTTTAACACACTTTTCTGTCTCTGCAAAGTAAAAAAATTAAAATATATCTTCACTCAAGAGGAACTATGGCAGATACTAACATTCCAAAAACTACAATTATCTTGGCTATGATGGAGGAAGGAATAAACTGGAATGATGTGTAAACCTATAAGTCACATGTTCTTGAGCTTCATCCAACTAACCAGGCAATTCATATCAATACACAGCAAGTATTAAACGGTGCAAGCTAATGCTATAAGAAAGAAGCAACATCAGAAGTATGTGATTAAAAATCCATAATTTTCACTTCACATGCACTAATATTAAAATGAACACTGAAGCCTTGTTATTACCTCTGGAATCCAAAGAATTCAAATTATGTATAACAAACAGGACTAATAATTTTTAGTTATTAATTTTGTAAGCTACCAAGTCAACCTTCTGAAACTAGAGGGACACAATCACAGATTTCATTATGAAACAATTTGTACACAGAACAATGTGATCTGAAAATATGTAAAATACAAAATGTAATATTAAAATGGAAAGTAACAAATGTGTATCTTTTGTATTACTGTAAAACACTGCAATCTTTACATGTGTGACAGAAAACTCTGACTGCTTCCCTCAAAATTAATGATAATTAAAAAAAGAATCAATACAAAATACCTACTTCTAATAAATCTATACACAACATTTTTATTATAATATAACTTAACACTATTATTTTGTTTTATACAAGGGACCCTGAGAAACATCTGCCACCAGTATATTTCTATTGTAAAACAGTTTATGGGCAGTATTTAAATGTGAAAAATATCTTTAAAAAATGGAGTCCTGAATCAATGAAAAATTCAGGTTTTAAAATACTGTATGTAAAGTTTTCTTACTTTCTTAAGCTCAAATGAAAAAAGGAAAACCTTTCCCTTTGAAAATCAAGTTTCAGCTTATATTTTTATACATTTACTTGTTCATAATAATTATAATATACAATAAAAACCAGGTACTTAGTTACGTCTGCATCATTGTTTCCTTCTCTTGTAGCTACATTACTCTAAAACTACTTTAAATAATTGTATTCTATAATGTTGTTGCATCTGCATTACAGGATGTAGGCTCTTGGTCAAACAGAGAATCTCTACATGTACATACATTGGTTTACAAGCTAATCTTGTACTGTCTTTAGATTCCAGACGATTTATCAATCTCTGCAAACTTCTTCATACAGACTATAAATAAAGGTAAAAGGTGGCTAAAATGTAAATAATAAAACTGATACTTCATAACCTTTCTTGTAATTGGAAAAACTACCAATTACAGCATTACTAAAGTATAAAGATAAGGAATATGAATACCAGATGCCTAAAGGGGGTGGAGATCTGTATAAAACAACCTGCCATGTGAACAATTTCATATACAATTAGTCATAAAATGTTATATTTATTCAAATGACACCTTACTGAGGGCAAAGAGTAGAATTCTATGTGTATCAAAATGTATTTTGATAAACATTTCATGCAACAGGCCCTAGAACCAACTTTTTCCCACAGAAAACGTACAATTCCTCCACGTGTCTCAACAAACAACTTGCCCATGATGGAGGACTGAATAAACTACAATGATGGTAATGAACAGTGTATAACACTGTAAGTTCCAAAATTATATATTCTATATGCATTCGGTATTTCTAAGGAAGACAGAATTGAGAATGAAAAAGATATGCATACAAATGGCTGCTACAGACATTTCTATAAATAAACTCTGAAATTCAGAGATACTTGACCAGCAAATGTCAACTAAACTCCAGATAATTCACATGAATGTTACATCACACCTACGTAGTTAATGCTTAATGTCTGTTACAAAGAAAATGCGGGAGGATAATCAACTGTAAAAATATAACGAGTCAATGCTGTCAATTGGTTGATCAATAAATTGACTTAACAGGAACAGAAAGTAAAATGGTTGAATAGGATAAAATTCATTTTCTAAACCGACAAGCTAACAGCAGCAGTAAAATCATACTAATCTTAAAACCTTGCATACCATGTCATGTAATGATACATAAAATCATACTATTTTAAAAGTGATCGAGAAAAGTAAATGGTATATTCTGCAAACAATAATGAGAGTCCTCTGCATAACCAAAAGCCTCCTACCATGTATCTAAATAAATATTTAAGGTGAACATAAATTACCTCTGCATGTCATGTTTGGAACTGATTTCAGAGAGATCAACCAGTATAAAAACTCATACTGAGTTCTGAGTCTGTCTTAAAATAGTAAATTTTTCACAATTAATTTTGTCCCATAGTCAACATAGCACAGTAATGAATAATGAAAAAGAAAACTTGTGGAATTCTTTTAGTAAAGTCATATAAGAAAGGCAACTTCTAGCAGACATTAGCATACACTTCTACTGTCACACAAAGACAAGTATCACAGGAGCTTCCATGCACTGACAAGAAGGTTTAATGTCTTCAAAGACAGTAACTACACAGTACTGATTGGAAGAAGCTACACTCTTCACCCTCTTAGTATGCCTGAAGCACGCTGTCAGCTTTCCAGTGACCTCTCTAGACACACTTGGCCAATAAGTGCAATGCCAGTCCCTTACTGCAACTCACCTAGTTACCACTAAACTTCAAATGCAAGTGGATAATGTAATCAACAGCTCGTTGATTAGTTTGGCAACACTCACAAATCACATGCATTTTCTAGGCCAGTTGCTAGCTGTTTAACTACAGTACACACATAAGTGTACCCAGTCCACACTTTTACACCATCATTCCAATTTATTAAGCACCCAGTGACTGCTTCAAGAATTCATGATGATATCTTGTAACCTCATTCTTGTTTTTTTTACATTAAATAAAAACAATACTTGTATGCGTGATTAATCTTAAGTATAGTATGCTTTAGCATCAAGTATACGAATAAAAACAGAAAATACATTATAACATAATATACTGATCTGTACCAAGCACATCTGTGACTTTTATACAAATTGATCTCTCTGTCATATCATTAAAAAATATCTTTACTTATGTCAATCAATTATTCATGACCTTTGGCTAAAATGCATTAGCAAAATCATGTTCACTATTTCATAAAAAAAACTTCCTTTGTGGTTCCCACTAATGGATGGACAACTGTATCATAACAACTCCATCTTGTCATCCAGTCATGGAAAACTACCACTTCAGTTTTCAGAACTTTTTCACAGTAGAAAAAATGGTTGAATTGAGCAAATACAAGAGGTCAACTGAGGTAAATCAACTTCCTGATTCAAAGTTTCTAATATTGTACAGTTGTAGTCATATTTCATTTTTATGATGAATCGTTTTTTAAGTTGATGTTTCGGAAAAAGACAGACAGAACAAGACAAAAAGGAATACTGGCAATGAAAGGAGACACCTCTTATGAACATATTTCTTCATGCCAAACAGTGAATTAAGTGACTACTGCATTCAGGTGTTGGCTATAAAGGAATGGGGACCAAGATGCTTATAATGACATGAGATTCAAAAGTGAGAAATAACTAGACTGCTGACAGCAACACAAAGTTAAATGCCGCAATATTTTGTTGGAAGCTTCTAATCACAGAATACTACCTTTGTGTCACTATTTAGCAGTTCTTACTCAGTCATTACTTACAATTTTATATTAATTTATACCCTTCTCAGATAAACAGTGTTCTGTAAAATGATTGTACTGAATCTCAGGGTGTGTCCTTTCATCATGCACTAGTAAAGTGGAGATGCTTGTTGGCAGACTTTGTCCTCGGGTCAAGCAGTTGTCATTGCTGCCTGTGAATTGGTGGAAGAGCAGCCACTATGAGGTGATAGATTACAACCAGTCACACCTGTCACAACTCCAGCCCTTGCTCCTGGTAACTGCTTGTCTCCTTGTCTCCGAAAAGGATCTGAACATCAGTGAAGAACACCTATTTTCAGATATGGCTTACAATGACAAACAGTGCATACATCTGATGAAAACAAAAAAACAAAAAGCTTGAACTAAACCTCCAACTGAACATTTATGGAGTTCAACAGTGGTTTCAAGGCTGTACTTACAAACTTAACAAACTCCAAATTGGAATATACACATTTTTCAAATGCATTCATTGAAATTCTACATACCTCACTGGTCTTGAAGCAAAAGTTAATTTACTGTTCATATAACTCTATTTTTCCTTTTAGATGACAACTATGGCAAGTTAACTGAATAAATTACCAAATGGTATACCTGCAAGGACTGTGAACAAAATTAATAGCAAACTCTGGGTTTCCTATGATCAACCCACAAAATATATTCACAAAGCCAAAAATTATTTTCCTTTCATTTTACATACCTTGGTGGCTTTGATATTGTTATTGCTGATATATACCTATTACTTCAAATATAAATTAATTTTCACACTACTTTTGAACCAGAACTCAACTGAAATATGTAGCTGAAAACCTAAAGAGAGCAAAACCAAAATTAATTATGGAACTCTTCAGGTTTTAACAGCAAACAACTCTTGCAAAGCTACTCCAACTGAACAGAATGATAAATTATTTTTCCATGTACTGATGGAAGTTTGATCTGAGCTTCATCCATAAGAGCCAAAGTTATTTAGCTTCAATTTAAATTCAGTATTTCTTTATGAAAAATACTGGAACAATAAGTAGCCACACTACCAACAATAGATAAGTTTACTACTTGCTGAAACAATTTTCAGAACTACAGAAACCTGACTTGCAAGAATGCATTTTTGTGACAGATGTCAAAGGGAAATTGAAAAGACCCTGAAAGTGCTAAAGTACTAACCTAGCAGCTGTCTGGAGATATTAACCTATAACTGACCTGCAATTTAAAGCAGTGTCAAATTTTGGAAGCAGGATTCTACTCCCATCTTCAAGAAAAAAAGTGGTAAGAGTACAGAAACTCAGTCTGTTGGGCCCCCTGGTTGAGCTAGCCTGATACCTGACCAGGTCTGAGGCTAGTTAGGGTTTCTGTCCTCTTTCTATTTTTCTACTGACAAAAGAAGCATAAGCCCACCTCTAAAATATTGACATTTTATTATTTTACAACTCAGACAATGGACGATGTTTAAAAAAACACTTTTACATATTATAATGCAGTACCATCAGAAACTTTCTGCCTGCAAGACATATACCTGTTTTCATGTGAATATACCACAAAGCTCCTGTAAGTCCAACGCCAATAGCAAATGAGGCTAAAGCAATCCCAACTGTTACTTCTGTAGACACTCCAACATAAATAACTCTTGGTTCAGCCTCTGCTGGTGCCTCTGAACTTGGTGCAACTGCAGGAAAAAGTATCACTATATTTCATAAACCCTGTACTGACATATAATCATATGGAATTTACAGTTTTTCTTGTTTATGATCTACGTAAGATCATAAGTCTCACAGAACAGATAAAATAATTCAGGGTGACTTCTGTTACAGTCACAGAAACACAGACAAATAGAGATAGCAAAACTAAGAGGCACACATTTACAATGCTTTGTAAACACACATAAAAATCAGTATTTACATGTGATTTTAACATGCACATTATTGGGTTTTTGGGATACTGAAATTTCCCAATACAGACCTTCATATCATGTTTCATCATTAATTTCTACACATTAGGATGAAAAGTACCAAAAATAAAAACTGCTAAATTATTCTTGAGGATTTTACTGCATTCTACAGACATGCACTGAAGGAAGTGACAATGAAATAATGAGCTACATGTACAAACACTGGACAGCAGAGTTAGCAGTGGTAATAAATATTACAACACAGATCTTTCATCATGACAGGCAGCCTACATGTTAAACTGAAATTTTTCAGTTTTGAAATTATATTCTCTTGTTCCATCCATGCATAAAAGTGAAACACTTTCATGCAATTAATGTTTTCCGTTATTCAAGATCATTTCCATATTGCTTTTGAGTTCTTGGCAGATTTCAATATAAAACCATACCCTGTAAGTTAGGAACTCTCCTCCTCCTTGGCACTGGTCGAAGTGGCCCCTTACTGGCCAACTGCTGTGCTGTGGACACAGCTTTGTCTAGGTATGGCCGCAAACTCTGGCGTGAACAGTACTGCTTTGGGTCCACACACTGCAAACAAACAGCTTGTTTCAGTGCAATGAAATGTTTCGATCCTATGAGAAGGGAAAGACAGAATGTTTCCAAATAGACTTGATCTGTAATAGACATATTTCTATTCTTTACTCAACAGTTATTATTATATGTATATTTTGAGCTTGTGTGCAGTCTAGCTGGCTGTGCATTGCAGTAGCACACCACTAAACCATAAACCCTGAAGTTAAACTCTCTATTTCCATGTCATAAAAGTTAAAAGAGTCCAAGCATTCCAGCCGAATCATTATCAAAAACATAAAATCAATAGCTGTATTAAAAGCAAATCCCTTTCTTTGAATTTTTCCTATGAAGTGAAAGTTCCAACCTATGGTACATGCACTACTGGTGGTACACAAGCCAATGTTGAGTGCTACACAAACACAGTACGAAAATCAAAACATAATATTAACATAAATAAGTTTTCCCTGAATGCATTTGATTAGTGATATATTTAGTGTGTTAAATTAAAATTAGTGGTATGCCAGGGAAAAAGGGTAAGAACCCCTGCCCTAGGAGAACAGTGCAGTCATCTCATTAAAAAACATAATGCCATCTTTGCATTTTTTACTATGCACAAAGAATGCATACTACTGAAAGAACAACACTTCTGATCTGCTGAGAGGGAAAATGTCAGCATGGCTACTTTAGTTACAATTAATAAAGATTGAAAAATTGATAAAATACTTTCTTGCTTACCCACTGTAGAAATAAATCTAGAAACTCACATACATTTTAGGAACCTATTATATATAATGGGCAATTCATTTACCAGAATAAGATTTCCTCTGACATGAGCTGGATCAGATGTGCACAAACCAAGGCGGCAATGAACAAAGAACTGACCAAGACTTCCATATTCCTTGTTCACTTGGAAACTGAAGCTGCCATGAGAAGCACGCTGACCTTGAGAATTATTTGCAGTGTCAATCTGTGCCTGAATCTCCACAGACAAATCAACAGGGCAAGTGTTCCGCAACAGAACCACACGGGAGCTATCCCTTGGATTTGATGAATTGGAGATCCAACAATTTTCTGTTACAACTTGCACTGGAACCACTAAGATAAGAAATATTAAATAGTCAGTGCAGACAACAGTTTAACCAATCTGAGAAATCAAATTAAAAAATTTAGCAATTCTCACAATTCAATTTTAAATTTAATTTTAATGCTGTTATTTCATCAAATGATATTTATGAACATTTATGCTCATTTTATACAGAATTACAGACTTAGCAAAAAATATTAATTGTATTAGACAGAAATTTCAGTGGTTGGTTAGTTCATAATTTTCTTTTAGACAGACTGTGCAGCAAGCACTAATGAAATGCACATAAAACCATTAACTGCAAGTTATCAAGACTGTCACATGTTACACATTTGATTAACTTATAACATTATATACTTTTGGACTGTTAATGTTCACTGAAAATGTTCAACTGAACTGTATTATTATGGTGATCACTAAACTTGTTTTTGTCTTTGTGAGTTTCCCAGAGCAACTCCGCAATATTGTCCCTTACCTGCATATTCCAACTGAACTCAATGTCTACGAGACTACATTATTAATTACACTGACAGTATAATAAAATGTCAGTGACAAGCTGATCCTCCATATTTGACATTTTGGAATACTCTCCTGGTGGTAGAGACAAAAGTTTATCATGCATAGGATGACTGAAGACTAGCACTGGGGAGATTTTATCTATGCATGAGCTACTCTAGCTCACATTTAAAATTTCAGAATCTACCTCCATCAATCCAAGCCCTCACATAAAGGGTCTCATCAAACTCTGCCTCCATGATGCCTGGGTCTGGTGAAGTGAAATCAAGAGCCTCAGTATGTTCTTTGTCCCTGTAGAGTTCCATGTGGTACAAGGCCATATTACTGCCGGATCCACTGTTCAAAATATCTTCTGAACCCTTGTAATAAAATCATATTATGAGATCCACAACAGTCATTTCTCTTTTAACAATGCTACTTTCAGCTCTTCACTTTTACAGAAGGTATCATCTAGATAAGGAGAGAATATGTCCAACTATATTGACAGTATCATTCCCATTACCTTGAGCTCTCTGGCCACTGATCATTATGATAAAATTTGTTATCCTTTCTCAAAAATGGGTCACTTGCAACATCATATCTAATCCAGCAACTCATCAATTCATAAAAACTGTCCTCTAAAAACCTACTCTCTCATGACATGTCACCTTGAGTAACAAATTCTTTTGGCTCCATGTAGGAAAATTAAAAAACTGTCAATCTTAATGTGATGCAACCTATTGTGTTTTAGTATGTCATTACATATGGATACCATGAACATACATATACTGGCATACAAATATATTACTCAACAACATATTAATTAAGTAATGTACAGTGTGTCCACAAAGTTCCTTAGGGGTTTTGAAAAATTGTGGCGTGCAAACAAATTGAGCTAGCCACATGCGGTTTGTGGTAAAAAGCTTCCAGAGTTTCACTGTAATCTGCCGCAAACCGCATGTGGCTAGCTCAATTTGTTTGCACGCCACAATTTTTCAAAACCCCTAAGGAACTTTGTGGACACACTGTACCACACACTGTATAATGTATATTAACCTCCTTGCAGATAATTTCTTCATGGAAAACAAATTATTTCTTGACATGGGAATCTGGTATATATGGTGTACACCAAGTAACTAAATATAACAATGATGTACCAGGCACAATTTACTTACCACCTATGAAGAAAGACTTAACATCTTAATTTATGGACACTCAAATACAGAGTTTTGTGAACAGTCAACTTACAATCAATGGATCTTCAGCATTCCCCAGTATTGTTTTAGACATAGGAAAGTGTGGATGATCCTTGCACACTATGGGAATTTTTCCAAATGCTGATGAACCATCCCCATACCATCCAGATGATTCTTCAAGGTCTTCATCATCATTCTCATCCTCTGAACCAAATGTCACATGAATCTGACAACAGAGGTGTTACACGTCAAGCCTTACAAAATATAAATGTTTCAAACTTGACTTCAACATTTCGAAGAAATTTCTCTAAACAGCACTCACAATATTTGTAGTGGAGACAACTTTGCCATCACTATCTCCAGTACTGCCACAAGATGTTATAAGACTAGAAATAAACTCATGAGTTCCATTTGACTGTGATATGCAGCTTGCATCATTTAGAGTGAGACGTGACACACCAAGTTCACGAATAAGACTGGCTGGGAAGCTAGCAGTGATGCGACTTTTTCCACAGTCTACTATCATGGCTGTTACCAGACGAATCAGAGCACCTGGCCGCGGCTCTATATAACAGAATAAAAGGAGACATTCAAAATAAATTCCACTCAATGAAACATAACATCTAATCGATTAACTGTACTGCAAACAAAGAGAAGGAAGAGAGAACATGCCAAGGGTTTATATCAGAAATCAGAGGTGGCAACTGGCAGCTTAAGAGCTACAACCTATGACAGTACATACATGGCTCCTTGAAAAGACCTGTACAATGCTTCAGATCAGAATATTTGAATAAACAGAAATTGATGTCATATTTATGATTACCAATGTAAAATAATAAAACATACTCTAACATCAAACAAAACATAACAATTCATTACAGCTTAAGTTATGATACATGACTCAGGAAACTGAATAACACCTTTTTGAAAAACCTCAATGTCTTAGAAAATGTAGGTAAATCTAACAAGAGATCAGATTTCTAATTTGAAGATTACTGTATATTTCTTGCTTTCAAAGTAACCTATTTGACCAATGACAAGAGGAACAGGGTGCTGATGATAGTGGCAGCAAGGACTTCTGAAATGCTAGTAAACGTCTATCAGAATACAGTCCATAAAACAGCCATCTTCGAAATCACAGCCATGACCTCAAATCCTACTACACAGTACAAGGTTGGAGTGGTTTTCTAAGGGCATAACATTTATGCCAAATTTCATAAAAACTGGTCAGGTGGTTCAACAGCTGCAAGAAAGACAAAGACAGTAAAGGCATGACAGAAGCACACACATACACATCACATGGTATTGTTATCACAAAAGCCTCTTTCTTCCCTCAAGAAAGAGAATAAGCTGAAAATACTAAATCTGGTAGGTGCCATCTATTAAAATAAATGAAACTCAAAGTAATATCATAAATGTATAAACTTACTTTGTGTTGCAAAGCCACTGACCAGTGTGGCTTCTGGATAATTGGGCTGCTGTTGCATCAATTCATGACTTCCTATAATTCCCTTCTGTTCTTCCTCACGTCCACTCCAGCTCTCCTGCATGGGCACCAAACCTTTGGCTGGATTCAC